AACTGCTCCCATGACAGTGATGTGGGTCTGGTGTGTGCTGGTAAGAGGAACATCTTCACTAATTGGTATTAAACTCTCTTACTGATATACTGTTTTTTATTTGGACCATTAGTAACATAATCTGTATGCTTTAGTCGAGTTTGAGTACCAGTTGTGTTGTGTTGTGTTACCTCCTCATAACAAACTACAGAGAGCATGTTCACTCTTAACTAGTACACTGATGACAGAGTATCATGTAACATAATTAGCAGATACATTTGGCTGTATTTTGTCTGGTTAACTATATGAGCATGTTCTTTCCCATTTGCTGGGGTTTGGTAGAGACAGACATTTATAAGTTATTTTAATATATGATTTTTCAGTAATTTGTGAGGGATAGAGAAGAAAGAGAGCAAGAAGAGACAGGCACAGTAACTACGAGACAGAGAGAGGTAAATGAGCTACAGTCAATGTAACTGTCAGTTGATTTAGCATATATATGTTTCAGCAAGTATTTTGAGCTGAAAATAAATGTGTAAATGAATAGCTAAATGATAAACAAAATTAAACAGGCTGACTAGAGTTTATGTAACAGTAATAGCAATTTACCTATTGGTGTAATATACATATTAACCAGTTAATTTAGTCACTGTGTGACGTAGGTCACTTTTCAACAAAATTGACGTCTCAAACATTTTCGTCCTAGTTACGGCCCTGTAAGTGGTTTATATTTCATCTCTCATCTTCTCTCTCTCACTCTCTCACTTTCTTCCTGTGTGTCCTTCTTATCTCTATCACTTTTTCGGCCCTAAGTAATTACTGAAAAAGCAAACTGATTTGATTGCTTATAACCTAAGCCAATGATTGCAGATCATTTCAGCTACTGCAAACAAAGCAAAAAGTAATATAAAATAAATGCATTTAATAAAACAAATCTGTTAATTGTCATCATAAACAATCACCTAACAAATGCTTACTTTTGCATCATAACTGTGTTAGCCCAATATGTGTATTGTGTACCTGCACATCTCAAAAAGTCAAAACTGATCTGAGCAGCATCAGTGACTTTATAATACACCTGGTAGTGCAGCAGTGATCTTATCAGGACATCACTCTCCACATTGAATTTTATGACTGGAGCTGTGGGGAAAAAAAGCCTTCTGAATCTACTGAGGTCTGTACCTCGGTGTTTTTATAGCTAGTTATGGCCACTTGCAGAAATATTTGTCTCTTCTGTGTTCTGTTATACAGTCAGTGTGAGGTTGGTGGGTGGTGGCAGTCGCTGTGCTGGGAGAATGGAGGTTCTTCATGATGATCAGTGGGGAACAGTGTGTGATGATGACTGGGATATAAGTGATGCTGCAGTGGTGTGTAGAGAGCTGAACTGTGGAGAGGCTGTAGATGCACTGAGTGATGCTTACTTTGGTCCAGGATCAGGACCAATCTGGATGGATAATGTATACTGTAGAGGATCAGAGTCTACACTGAAGAACTGTAGATCAGCAGGATGGGGAAAACATGACTGTGATCATTCTAAAGATGCTGGAGTCATCTGTTCAGGTAACCTTTTCTGAAATTAAGTAATCTATTTAATGATATTATTTTTTCAATCATATTTTATTTATCAGCCATTTATTAAGACTTTTTAATCATGATCATTAGCATTTCAGGAATCGCTGTTGAATTTTCCCACTTGCATTCTTTAAAACCTTCAAATACAATTTATCTTATGTATTTTTGTCTTTTAATAAAACTATGTCACATGAATAAATCGTGTCGATTTAAAGAGTTGGGGATGATGGGGGGAGATGATTGTGCTGCCAGAAAGAATTCTGAAGATTCCCCTCACAGCAGCAGTTTATGCTTTTTATTCAGCCAATCCATAGAAATTTTAATGTTTTCTTTAAGATTTCTGAATCAGTCATGTACCCTGATTTTCCACATCACCAGATTCTACAGTATAAGACTGATCTGATCTGATCAGACAGTAAACTCTTTATTCTTGTTTGTTGCTCCTTAAAAGTCTACAGTTCAAATGTTACTATAAATCAAACTTTTGAAAACTTTAACCTGACAGGTTTAACTAACAGTCTGAAACATTCACAAAGTGAAGTCTTATGAGTGGCAAAGTTAGTTTCATTTTCACATGTATGTTTTTTTCTTCATTAGTTTATGAATGATGGGTGCAAAATGAAAATGATCATTATTATTAAGAACTAAGATCAGTTCCTACTTAGTTTTCCTGTGAAATGAATGCCTTTTTGCACTTGTCGTACACATTGATTTCTGTGAGCTGCTGAAACCGCTAAGAGCTGATTAGGGAGCATCTATAAATTACAATCATCAAAGTCCAGCATGACGCTCCAACATGAAACCTTATGAGCCAGTGCAGCATTTTAGCAGATAGAACACAAATGATGGTCACTCTGAGTTTTAAGAATGGGCTCTCTTTGTAATTGTTGCAAATGAGAGGTCTTAAAATTAGATTTCTACCAGACTTTTAGCTTTGGCATGAAAAACAACAGATTTTTAACAAATAAGACAAATAAGTATGTCAAAACTCAGACAAATTATACTGTTTTGTTCGAATTATTTCCATAAGTTACTCCTCTTAGATTTGGCTGTTTCACTAAATGTGAGATCTGTGACTGTTTCTGTGTGGGACACAGAATTACCTATAATCTATTATTCTGTTTCATAAATCAGTGCAGTTTTTGTGTTTGGTGTGGGTTAAATTAAATTCTTGTTAAATTTTTTTTTTTTCTCTTTTCTTTATTTAATCATACGTGTTTAATTAACGACAAGTAATCCTAAAGTAATAGAAAGTAACATTAATATAGTAATGCTTTGAATTAGGTTACAATTACATTTCTTACCAAGTAATCAGATCTGTAACTGAATACATTTTTGACGTAACCCTCCCAACCCCATTTAGGAGTCAGGCTGGTTGGTGGTTCTCGCTGCTCTGGGAGGGTAGAGGTGCTTCATGGAGAGACCTGGTCCACAGTGTGTGATGCTGGCTTTGACCAGCAGAATGCAGAGGTTGTGTGTCGAGAGCTGGGCTGTGGGCTTCCTGTGGAGGTGCAGGGAGCAGCTGCTTTTGGCAGAGGAGAGGGTCAGGTGTGGTCAGAGGAGCTTCAGTGTAGAGGCAACGAATCTCAAATTCACTTCTGTCCAACATCATCTTCACTCAAACACAATTGCACTCATGACAGTGATGTGGGACTGATGTGTGCTGGTAAGTACTTTAATTGTAGCCTGCGATAAGATTACATGTCTGTGACTGATTTACTGTAACAGTGTTTTCTCACTTCAATATTTACTTTCATAAAATGTTTTAAAACATTTACATTGTATTTTAACTGTAAGATGTATTTTCTTGATGTGCATCATTATTATTTTTAACCTATAAAGCCTAAGAAGTGAAACTCATCTGTTCCTTCTGATTTCTAAATTAGCATTAATGCAAAAATACTATTTTCTAATTGATTATTATTTAATTTTTTTTATTTATGCATCCCAAACATTTCTCCCAGCACTAAAATTCTTTAATCACTTTTGACTGTGTATTCTCTCTCTCTTTCTCTCTCTCTGCTGTACAGGCATTGTGAGGTTGGTGGATGGAGACAGTCGCTGTGCTGGTAGAGTGGAGGTTCTTCACAGAGGGCAGTGGGGAACAGTGTGTGATGATTACTGGGATTTGAGAGATGCTGCAGTGGTGTGTAGAGAGCTGAACTGTGGAAAGGCTGTACATGCACTGAGTAGAGCTCACTTTGGACAAGGATCAGGACAAATCTGGATGAATAATGTTTATTGTAGTGGATCAGAGTCTACACTGAAGAACTGTAAATCAGCAGGATGGGGTAAACATAACTGTAATCATGGTGAAGATGCTGGAGTCATCTGCTCAGGTATGCAGCAGTCACTCATCACCACTACGAATGAACAAATGCCTAATATGATTGTTACCACAATATCAGATTTATTTTCCAAAGATTTTGAGTGTTATTAACTTGGATCTTTTACATTAGTGTCTCTTAAATGGGGTACATAAGAGTAATTGTAGAAAATGTGAAAGAAATAAAAATATTAGTTGTGAAATAACCAAGTAAGCTTTGTCAAAATTAATGAGTTAAAAATATACGTTCTTGACTAGTTTCTTGACTAGTCCTTGACTGGTCCCCAGACCAATAGCAGGACAATACCTAACATTACCTTTAACACTATTTTAATCTAGTTGTTTTACCCTGTTAGCTTTTTCTTGTGCTCAGTATTAATGTCCTTCTAATTCCACAGGTCACAGAAAGTCCAGACTTACTAATGGTTTTCATCTGTGCTCTGGGAGAGTGGAGGTGCTTAATGTGAAGACCTGGTCCTCAGTGTGTGATGCTGACTTTGACCAGCAGGATGCAGAGGTTGTGTGTCGAGAGCTGGGCTGTGGGCTTCCTGTGGAGGTGCTGGGAGCAGCTGCTTTTGGCAGAGGGGAGGGTCAGGTGTGGTCAGAGGAGCTTCAGTGTAGAGGCAGCGAATCTCAGATTTCCTTCTGTCCAACATCATCTTCACTCAAATACAACTGCACTCATGACAATGCTGTGGGCCTGGTGTGTGCTGGTAAAGCACTTATTTTTAATTGAGTTCAACTCAAATGAGATTCAAATCATTAAGTCTTCCCACTACTTGTTGCAATATATGGCACTGAATTACTCTGATGCATGTTAATTCCTGTAATATGATGTTTATTCAGGTCACACTCAGGCTCAGCTGGTGAACGGATCTGACTCCTGTTCTGGTCGAGTGGAGCTCCAGTACCTCAGTGAGTGGGGCACAGTGTGTGATGTAAGCTGGGATATGAGAGCTGCCAGTGTCCTCTGTGGTCAGCTGAAGTGTGGGAGTGCTGTGGCTGTGTTGGGGTCAGACTGGTTTGGGGAGGGGACTGGCCAGATCTGGGCTGATGTGTTTGACTGTCAGGGGAACGAAACACACCTGTCAAAATGTCCCATTTCATCATGGAGTCGAACTGCATGCTCTCATAAACAGGATGCTGGAGTCATCTGCAGTGGTGAGCTCTTAAAATCATGTTGTCCATCTCAAAAACTGGCTGTTTATAAAGCTCCTTCAGTGAAGTAAAAATGTTTTTATTTCTTCAAATCTTTTCTTCTTCAGATTCCTCTCTGGTGTTTCATGAGGGGCGAGTGCGGTTGTCTGGAGGGATGGAGTGTGAGGGGGAGGTGGAGGTGTACTTCAGGCAGGACTGGAGGAGAGTTCTGCTGGACTCCTGGAGTGAGTCTGAGGCCTCTGTGGTCTGCAGACAGCTGGGCTGTGGCTCTGTGGTCAGCTTCTCCAGCTCTTCTACATCCAGTCCTGAACACAGACACATGTGTGTGACAGGTTTCAATTGTTCTGGGAGTGAAGCTCATCTGGGGAACTGCAGCAGCGCACAAGCAATCAACTGCAGCTCCAGAGAACAGCTCTCAATCACCTGCTTTGGTAAGAATGACAGCAGCTAAATATTATAAGTGGTTAACAGTCTTCCTAAAATAATCGGCCCCAAAGGATATTGTAATCTTATAAGTTAATTTTACAGTCAACAGATTAACTTTCTCCTTTATGTAGAGGACCAGTGAATGAGGATGCCACAGCTGTAGTGTGTGTGTGTGTGTGTGTGTGTGGTGTGTGTGTGTGTCTGTGTGTGTGTGTGTGTGTGTGTGTGTGTGTGTGTATGTAGGTAAGTTTAATCCAGCTCACAGCTCCGTCAGGCTAGTTGGTTCTGGGGGAGACTGTGCAGGAAGGCTGGAAGTTTTCCACAGCGGCTCATGGGGGACAGTGTGTAGTGACTTGTGGGATGTTGAGGATGCGCAGGTGGTGTGCAGACAGCTGCAGTGTGGAGTGGCCCTCAGTGCTCTGGTACCAGCCCAGTTTGTACCTGGAACTGGACCCATATGGCTGAATGAGGTGATGTGTGAGGGGAATGAGACGTCCCTGTGGAACTGCAGATTTCAGCTGTGTGGAGAGGATGAATGTGGACACAAGGATGATGTAGGAGTCGTGTGCTCAGGTACCATGATTTTAAAGGAACAGCTCACAGAAAAATCAAATTAACATAATTTTCCTCTTAACAGAAATGTAGTCAGTTAACCAAGATATGTTTGCACTGATAATCACTTTACAAAATAATCGAAGTCACAAATGCACTAAAGCATTGGGTTGTCTCTCTGGATGTTAGTATGTGCAATATACTGTACATTTGGCTAAGTTTAATTCATGTTCAGTTTGAACTTTTCTTTCTATTGACCCCCAGATTGTCTGTGCATGAGCCTGGCTACATTAGTCTCATAACTCCGGTGCACAGCTTAGGAAGCAAACTTAAGACATTACACTATAATCATCATGATGATACTGTCACAGACAAAATCTAAAATCACGAAGGAGTTCTTTGATCATAAGTTAAAATCGGTGGTCTTTGAACAGTTAATGTCACATGCTTCTTACAGCCTCTGTGACCAAAGACAGGGTGAGAGAGATGATAAATGGAGGTAAAATCTTTATTCTGCACAAGTTTAAGAATAGATTATGACATTAGTCTGGCTCTACCCTCAGTTCATATATAGAATGACCTGCAATATAATAGCAGACAAACTGAATAGTGGACACAAAAATTAGCGCACTGACCTCAACTCATTGGCACTACTATACTGAGGGTTTTTTTTTTTTGCTTGTGTGGTTTTATGTTTTGCCAAAATAGAAAGTACATGCAGAATGTTGTTATTTTCTTGCATTGCAAATCACCAGAAGATTTTCAAAGTATAATCTGAGGTGCAGCATAACTGAATTCACACAGTCTGACATGGAGTTTAGCCAAGATATTATTTGCAACATCTCAGGTGTGACATGAAGTAGATGTAATAGAGCACTGTAATCAGACATGTCTAGGCTGATCATCTGTTTTTGGGATGAAATTATGTAGATTTGAATTTGCATTGAACCGTGCCTTTAAGGAAGTTAAGCAGAGGAGCTTAATTATTTTTATACTTTTTGAGGGGATGCAAGATATTTAATTTTTAATTGTATGAACTTCCTAAAACATGCACATTCAAAAGCAAAGTTTAGTATAAATTCTTTTCCCACTAGAGTTTAAAGAGATCAGACTCACTGAGGGCTGTGAGGGGAATCTGGAAGTGTTCTACAATGGAACCTGGGGTAATGTGTGTGTAAATGGGATGGATGAAGAAACAGTGAGTTTAATCTGTCAAGAGCTGAACTGTGGAAGATCTGGCAGTGAGTCTTGGGCCAAAGCAAGAGTGGAATCAGCTCCTAACTGGCTGGATGATCTGAAATGTAGGACACACGACTCCACTCTGTGGCATTGTCCTTCTTCACCCTGGAGAGAGAACAACTGTGATAAAGACAATGAAGTGGCCTGGATTACCTGCTCAGGTAGGCAGTGTTTTATGTTCATATAAGTAGAGTGTGTATACATTCTTGTGCTGACAATAAATCACACAAAGTATAAAACTTGCTTAAATAGGTAAATAAATTATACATATAGACATGTAAAATAAATAATATATAGAAATATAGAAAAACAACTTTATATGTTCAACGCTTAATGAAGTATCTTTCTGTATTCATAGAAGATCTAAATTATCGTGTATTACGAAGCCATCTGAAATGCTTCTCATCTACCCATCACAGACAGTGCTCAAGTAAGAACTCTTGCAAATAATAAATGTGTTCATCACAAGTGTTAAAAAAGTTGCTCCTTCATAAAACTATTACTGGTAATGTACAAAAAGAAAAATTACACTTAATAGCTGTATTGTTATTAGTTCTATAACTATCCCGGTTGATCAGCATTGCTGTATTTCCTCATATGTGATGTGTGTGATGTAGATCACCTGCCTCTCAGGCTGAGAGGAGGAACTGGAATCTGCTCAGGGAGGCTAGAGGTGTATCATAATGCTGAGTGGGGATCCATCTGTGATGATCTTTGGGACATCAGGGATGCTCGGGTGGTCTGCAGGCAGCTGGGCTGTGGGTCGGCGCTGAGTGCTGATGGGAGTGCTGTCTTTGGTGCTGGTGAAGGGCCTATCTGGCTGAACAGAGTGAAGTGTAGAGGGAATGAGTTTCACCTGTGGGACTGTCCTCATTCCCTGAAAAAACACACTGACTGCTCCCACAGGCAGGACGCTGGAGTCACCTGTGCAGGTCAGAGGAGTCTCCTGGACTTTAGACCTCCTGGCTCCAATTAAAAATATTGATCACAGTATTCAAACCTGGAAAGTTTCATTAAATGGTGCATCAGTGCACTTTTGTTAAAATTATCTAATGCTAATTTGCCACATTCAGTGCTTAAACTGTTACAAAAATCAGAATCAGAACTGCATTTTCTGTATTTACAGACATGTCTGTGCCTTCTACCACTCCACTCATAATAAGAACCACCACCTCCAACACTACAGGTATTTTTATGTCTCTTAGACAGATTTTGCTACATGTTCCTGAATAGATTGTTCCGGGCTCTGTACAGTTTCTATTCTGTATTTTTATTTTTAGTTGGTCGGCCAGTGAAGAGAACAAACACTCTTCTACAAGCTCTTCCAACTGCTGCTGTTCCATCCATCTATCCAGTGTCTCTCCTCATCCTGGGAACAGTGCTTTTTCTGGCCTTAATACTTCTGATAGTGCTGTTTTATCAGAACAGAGTGCTCAGGAGAGGTAGAGAGATTCAGAGATCATCTACAATCCACTTTCTGTACATTCTCTAAACATCATTAGTCTTTCAATCTGTCAATCTGGCTTAATGTTTATCTTTGTCTCCTTCACAGTGCTCTCTAAGAAGATGGAGAACATAGTCTATGAAGGCCTGAGAAGAGGGCTTGAGGGAGTCTATGAAGGCTTGAGTAGGGGCACTGAGAGAGTCTATGAGGAGATTTACTGCAGATTCAATACTGCCAGAGCCACTCAAAGGGGTGAGTGTTCTACACGAGAGTTATTGTAGTGTATTTATAATAAATAAAGATTAATTGTATTCATTTGATAAATGATGATTCATGTGCATTCTTTATTCGTGTGTGTGTGTGTGTGTGTGTGTAGGTTGTAGGCCTTTATTGTGGGATCATCTTTGCCTTCACTTGTTCTCTGTACTCTCCGCTTACTGCTGTCAATTGTTTCTCATTCTACCTGTTGTTCTTGTATTTCTTTTATTTTTCTTGTATTTTGCATGTATGTTCACCCCCCTGTTTTTTGTGGTTCTGTGCCATTCTGTTCTGCAATACGTGTAGTTGAGTCTCATCAACTGCTATTACTGATTACTACTGTAATACTTGTATTATTTTTATTGTGAAAGGTAAAATAAAGATTATATCTTTAATTTTAAGGAACACAAATTGTAAGCTAGTACCTTTTTAGGGTTACTTAAAAGTTACAGTTAGAGTTACCATGCAGATTAAGAACTTCTATGCAAATGAACACAGATGCAGCTTCATATTTAGCATAAGTCCAGCGCAATGTAACCACATGTTAGGCTCATGTGCTTTTTGTATAAAATCATTTCCGCAAGGAATCTGGTGCCTTTATGAAGTGCCCTCTATGCCACCCCTATAGAACAGTTTTCCAATGGGTGTCCTTTCTAGTAGAGAAAATGGGATGCAGTGCTGTATAGGGCACTTCCACAAATGAGAAAACACAATTAAGAGCCCAGTGAATAAAGTGAATAAAATCTCTAAAGTCTTCCCTAAAACGTGCCCTCTAGGGCTAGCTCTCAAATCTTTGATAAGATTTTAAATTTACCTCTCAAACCCTGCTTACATTCAGAAAACAGATCTATGCTAATAAATCTTGTCTGCATTTTTGCAAAGAGTCAATAAGTTATACAAATATCTAGCTAGCATCTGATGTAATCTCATCTGCACTGTCTCTGTTTTTTTATTTTTCAGTGTACCCTTTGGGTTAGGATAAATTATCTTAGATTAACTGTATTTGGTAGTAAGAGACAAAGTAAATTGTTGCCAACATTGACACAACAAAGGTTAAAATACTCATTGCCCTTGTTAAAAACTTGCATCTACTCCATCAATGTAAGTTTTGAGTTTTAGCCACACCCCCTCTAGAATGTTCAGAGGGAGGTAATACAAGCTTTCTTTGAGCTTGTAAAGACTGAGTTTTACCCATGATGCATTATTAAATACTAATGTATGTACACTGCAAGTGCTTTTACAGAGAGTCGTATCACATTTTTTTAGCCTAGATACCTAGACTCAAGACATCAAAATAATAACATGTTCTTGAGATTTTGATTTATAAGGAATAAGTCTCTAAGCGACTTGAGATCCTGTCTGAACAAGCAGCCATCAAGATCTCAGAAATGACAAGGGCCGCAGGTCAGCTAAAGTGGCCACCACGAGCGTTCTCTTTCCACTGAGGTTCAGGGCAACAACACTTTATATGCTCTGGAAATCTTTCTAATTGGCCCTCCCATTGACTTTAACTGCTCTTATCAGCTGCTTCAGAGTCTCTTCAGATGCTCTTAGTACAGCCTTTTTGACTGCCTATCCCCTGTGGTGACTGAAGCAAAAGCTTCTTGGGCTCTTCCTGTCAGTGTCTGTGAATGAGAGTTAGCCACTCGTTGTTTGGACAGTGCCTCTCCAGAACAGTGCATACAAACGTAAAAAGCACATTTTTGAGGGATGAGTAGACATGTTGACATCGTAGCCTGAGCTTAGAGCCATAATGACTTCCTGAGTAGAACTTTCAATTAAGTAGCAAAAGTTAGCTTTGATAGCTACCTACAATAAAGAAATGAATTTTAATCAGCGAGCTAATTAAATCCACAAATGACCAAATACAGCAGTCAAGGTTAGCTAACTAGTAAAGTACATCCAGAAAATGACCTAATACAGCAGCTACATGAGCTAGCTAACTGTTTCCATCCAAAAAATGGCCTAATACAGCAGCTACATAGCTATATGCATCCACAAAATGACTTAATACAATAGGTATGGATAGCTAGCTAATGTTAGCCTCCACTCCAGGTCATGTCAGCCACATATCAACATGTTTCAGCCAGTTCTATCACACACACCATGCAGTTCACACTTTTTTTTACAAAAATGTTCTTTTCCACCAGTTTAAAAATAAAGATTTGGCACTCACCCAGTACAAAACACTGAGGCTGGTCTCTGGCTGATGTGCTTGAGTATTGAAGTAAAACTGCAGTACTGTTATTCTGCTAAAAGCTATTGAGTAGCTGAAAAGGTTGTTTTCGTATTGAAAAGTTGATTGAAATAAGATGCTGTAAGGTGAACTACAGGTGATTAATATTGCTGTATTCACTGTATGGTATTGATACTGTATTTAGGTTTACAATAAAGTGTTAATGCTGTAATACATTAAATATTTCCCAAAATGCATTTAATTACTGCAAAATACTGTACAAAGATTCTGTGGTAAAACACTCTTGGGAATACAGCAATAGTTGCCATGAAACAACTAAATAATTTAACCTGTTTGTTAAAATGAAATAAAAAAATCCCATCAGAAGTGCCTGTGATTCTGTGTCTGAGAGAGCCATCAACTGTCTGCACTGATATTATTTCCTGTGCCAGCCCAGCTACTATAATTACATTACAGCAGTGGTTTGACGTTACTCTGAGACTGCTAGTTCCACTAAGATATGATCAGGTAAACAGTGCTGTTTGAGAGTCATATTAGGATCCCACTAAGGTCTTAGTGTCATGCAGCATTTTTGCTACATTTTCTGGTGCCTCCATAGAACTAGATATATTATGACAGTTAAATGTTCTGCTCTCCTCTAACAGGAAGTCTCCTCTCTGAAGCACAGCATTCAGGATATGAGGATGTGGATGAGGAGCTCTTCCCAGGTAAGAGCATGTGTGTGCGTCAGACTCACTTACATGAAGGTAATATGAATGTAAGCTTTAAATGCAGGATGATCGAACAAATCAATCATGGGCTGTAAAGGCTTGTAATGTGAACATAGCCTCATCTTAATTGGTGAGGAACCTTTATGATGCTTTACAATAAGAAAAAAAATGCAGTTATTTATACTTTCGCTCACATTGTCGGATAGCCCCTAAATACATTAATTGATTAATTAATTAATTGCTTAACCTTTTAAACCTAAGAACTAGTGTGAGCTTTAAATGGCTGCGATGAATTTGGGATTGAAAAGCATTGACAATAAAAATTACACAGACACATAAATCTCCACAAAATCATGTGGCACTTTTTATTACATTTTGTGGTGCTTCCATAGTGCTACATGTGTTAGCTACACACAGCTAAATGCCAGAGTTCTGCTCTCCTCTAACAGGAAGTATCCTCTCTGAAGGTCAGCATTCAGGATATGAAGATGTAGATGAAGAGCTTCTCTCAGGTAAGAGAACCTAAAGCTACATTCTGTTGACAAATATTACAGTAGCCATTAGAAATTTAAAAATTCATTATAAATTAATGTTTTGTACAGTAATGCCAAAATCATTTACAGTAAATTCGATGTTTTAAAACTCAGCACATTTAATAACTATAGTCTCTACCCAGGTTGCTTTATATGATTTTCTAGTAACTTTTGCTGATCTTTACTGTTTCAGATTCTCTTTAACTGTTCTCAACTTCTACTTATTGCTGAGTCTCTAGATCAGACGTTTCTGTCAGAAATTATTTCTTGCATAATCTTAATGGAGTCACACACTGAAGACTGAATTTTAAAATTCTGATCTTGTTACATTAAAACCTCTCTGAATGAGCATTTTATTATTAAATGTAATTAAAAGTGATTAATTTGCTCTTTTTACAGCAAAGTCTCTGTCTGGAATGAAATCAGAATATTACGATGATGTCACCAGTGGTCTGACAAGTGGGTACCTTTTTAATTAATCCCCTGATTTTATCTTTATATTGAACCACAATGTGAAAATATGACTGCACTGTTTGTAAAGTCAGTTTTCTTTTCTTTGATTCAGGTGAATCAGAAAAAGAAGACATAGCAAATAACTATGATGATGTCATCACCACTGGACAGATCTCTCAGAGTGTCATAGGTGGGTTTCTGTTCTGGGGTTTTAGCTTCGAACAAATTGAAAAGAAATTAAAAACCATACCAATATAACCAAATAATAAATGCTATAAGAACAGCATTAATAAAAAAAAATGTCACAGTATTAATTATTTGGAGTGTTTGTGGAGCTTCACTCTCTTAATTGTGTTTGTGGAGCTGCAGTAAAGTGAATTGTATACATGCTTAAAATAAGCAAATCTTTGGTTCACATACAATTTAAAATCCTTCATTCATTCATTCATCTTCCTACACTGCTTGATCCAGCTAGGGTCAGCGTAGCAGTAGGGAAGCAGAGAAAGAAAGGCCTTTCTATAGATACCGTCTGTAAAATACAGAAAACACGGAGAGGCCTTTTTCAGTTATTATGCTGTCTAAACTGTGGAACTCAATTCCACCTTTTATTAGACAGTCAAGCTCAGTGCTCACTTTTAAGAAGCACCTAAAAACATATCTCTTTAAATTAGCATTTAACTAAAACTCAATGTCTCGTGGTGTTTATCTTGTGATTTAATCTTCTTCATTTTTTTCTGATTCTAATTAAGTACTAATGATCTTTTCTTTAACTATGTTTTATCACCTGTCTGTAAAGCACTTTGAGCTGCCACTGGCATGAAAAGTGCTATATAAATAAAATTATTATTATTATTATAATTTTTATCATTAAGATGACCCTGTCCCCCGCAACTTCCTCCAGCTCATTCTAGGAAACCCAAAGCCCCTTCCAGGTCTCTCTCTCTCTCTCTCTCTCTCTCTATATATATATATATGTATGTGTGTGTGTGTGTGTGTGTGTGTATTTATATATATAAAAACCCTCCAGCGGGTCCTAGGATGAACTCGGGGTCTCGTCCCAGTCAGGCATGTCTGATAAATCTCCAGCTGGAGGCTACCAGGGGGCAACCTAATCAAATGCCCAAACCACCTCAATTGGCTTCTCTCAATGTGGAGGAGTAGCAGCTGTACTTTGAGCTCCTCTTGGATGACTGAGCTCTTCACCCTATCATATAGAGTGTAGCCCACTTCCCTGTGAAGAAAGCTCATTTCCACTGCTTGTATCCACAGTCTCCTTCTTTTGGTCATTACCCAAAGCTCATGACCATCAGTGAGGGAGGGAATGTAGACCAACCAGTAAACAGAGCTTTGCCTTATAACTCAGCTCCCTCTTCACCACTACAGTACAGTACAGCAACCATATTACTGCTGCCACCTGTCCCAACCTGCAGCTGATCTCACAATCCCTCTTCCTATCACTAGCGAACAAGACTCCGAGATACATAAACTCCTCCACCTGGAGCAGTTCAACATCATCTGCAAAAAGCAGAAATGCCACCTTCCGGCCTCAATGCATAATGCCCTCCTGACCTTGGCTACACCTTGACATCCTGTCCACGAACAGAAGTGGAGACAACGCACAACCTTGTCTCAACACCCACACTGGATGAGCCTGACTTAATGCAGAGTATACGGACACAGTTCTCACTGATGGCCTACAGAGGCCGAATGGCCTGGACTAGTGGCCCCGGCACCCTGTACTCCCGAAGGAACTTCCACAGAATATCTTGGGGAACGTGGGGGGTAAGCCTTCTCCAAGTCCACAAAACATATATAGACTGGGATGTCAAACTCTCATGCCCTCTCAACAATCCACATGAATTTGATAAGCTGGTCCATTGTTCCACGGCCGGGACGGAATCTGCATTGTTCCTCCTGAATCTGAGGTTCAACTATTAGTCAGAGTCTCTGTTTCAGCACCTTGCCAGAAACTTTTCCAGGGAGGCTGAGCAGTGTGGTACCCTGGTAATTGGCACACACTCTCCGGTCCACTTCCTCAAAAATAGAGACCATCACCATGGTCTGCCAGTCCAAGGGTACTGTTCCCAAGGTTCCTGTGACACCGCAGAGGCATGTCAGCCTTGACAGCCCCACAACATCCAGAAGTAAGCCTTTCTGGGCAAATCTCAACCACCCCTGGTGCCTTGCCGCCAAGGAGCTTGCCATGGCCCTGACTCCCGTAATAGAGGCATGTCTCTTGAGTCTAGGAGTTCCTGAACCTCTTCCACTGACCAACAGTATCCTTATTAAAAGTCAGAGTTTCTCCTCCCCTGCTGAGTACAGCTTGAGCAAAACCACTCCGACCACTCCCGAGTCACCGAACAGTTGTCCAGAACCTCCTTAAAGCAAACTGAAAGTCTTTTTCCATGGCCTCTCCAAACTTCTCCTGTGTTTTGGACTGCTTTAGCTTTTTCCACCACTGCTGCTGCAGCCTATTTTGCCCCTCGGTACCTATCGCTGAGTTTTAAGTCCTCCAGGCCAACCAGTCCTTAATGGCCTCCCTTCTTGGGTCACTGTCCTGACAAGCACCAACAAGCTTTTGGCCACAGCTATGCTTACCGGCTTCCGCAATGGAGGTTTTGAACAGGGTCCCTTTGGACATTCATGTTTTCCCTGCCATCTGATCCAACTCACCACCAGATGGTGATTGGTTGAAAGCTCAACACCTCACTGTCCAAAACAGAAGGCCGAATGCTCCGAACTGTTGTGTGGTTCATAACCACACACAACAGTCAGTTTTGCTCCATGTGATTTTTATTTGTATTGAGGCAACCCTCTTGTTCACTGGGACAACCTCCAACTGCGCAGTTGCCAGCCATTGTGAATATCCCCACACCCGCCCAGTGCCTCTCACCCTGTGCAACTTCTAAGTAGGAGAGAGAACTACCCTATCAAGGTGTTTGGTTCCAGAGTTCCTGTAAATGGAGGTGAGCACAACTACATCTAGTAGGTACCTCTCAGCCTCCCGCAAAAAGCTTTGGCTCCTTTCACTGACGGGATGTCAATAGCCAGTTTCCACCGCAGGGGTCCATGCCACCAAGGACCTTCTCGCCATCTCCCACTGCCTATAAGGCACTGCACCTGTCCCTTATGCTAAACCTTGCGGGCGGTGGGCCCACATGGTCTCCTCATGTTGCCTTTTTGAGCTGAGCCCAGCCGGGTTACACGTGCTGCCCGGCCACCGGGCACTCGCAGAGGATCACTATCCCAAGGCCTGGCTCAAGGGTTAGGTCTCGGTAACACTCTCCCAGGCAGGGTATATGATAAATTGCCTCCTTTGATCATAGGGAATTTTGGATCATGTTAGTCTGGGTCTTCACTCCAGACCTGTTTGCCTTGGGAGACCCTAACAGGAGCATACTGCTTCAGATGACTTATCTCTGAAGAGCCCTAGACCACACAAGCCCTTCCTTAATGCCAAGACCCCAATTCAGGAAGAGCATGTTTAAATCAGTCTATGTCAAAAACAACAAAACAAAACAAAACAAAAACAAAAAAACCTAGTTAAAAGTTATTAGTGCTAAAGCTAATGTTAGGGTCAATGTCAATATATTCAAAAATAATGTTTGAAACAGCTGATAAACACTGCTTGCAGAAACCTACAGTCATTCAAAATGTAGCTTTGATATTCTAAATATCTCTGTGTTTTGGTGTAGAGGATGTAGCAGATAATTATGATGATGTCATCACTGCTGATCAGAGCTCAGCTGTTGAAACAGGTATGACTTGAAACAATACTGTAATCTCAAACATGAACACAGTCACTGATGATACTGATTTAATGACATTTATCTCTACATTTTGACAGAAGACATGACAGATAACTATGACGATGCTGTTACCGCTGGACCAAACTCCAATATTATGACAGGTAGGTATTACTTTAATATATGCATTCTTTTAAAGTTAAAAATAAATTTAAACTAAACTTTAGTATAGCAAAATGTCTGGTTTGTTGCTTATTGTTAAAATGTATTTTCCCATGTTGGTGAAGGGGAAGTTTATGCTGTTACATTCCAGATGTATATGAGTGTGTAAAGTAGAGTAAGTGATTCAAGTGCACAGGAAGTCTAGTGATAAATGAGTTTTGTTATCAATGATAAATAAATAATGTCCTCTTTATTTTGATGTAGAGCCTTTTTATAAAACCTGCAGTCTTTATTCATTCATAAAAGAAGTGCAGCTACATTTCTTTTAGTAGAGACAAGAAACAGTTGATTAGTGCCACGCTGCTCTCTAGACAGGACTGGAAGTAATCAGTTCTCTCTACATCTGTCTAACAGTGTTCAAAGAATGATGGGACAGCGCAGATACTCAAAACTAAAACAGAATTGTTTGTGTTTTTGATTATTGTTTCTTTCATTCTAGGGCACTGTGTAGATCTGTAGAAATGTAGGTTCTGGAGGGTTGGTGTCCAGACTAAACATAGTAATTAACAGATGAGTGAAATCAGGTGTGTTTGTACACCGGCCCTCCAGGACCAGAGTTAAGAGTCCTGCACTAAAGACCACCATAGAGGGGAATCAGACTGAAATAAACTCATTCAGTATTCACTGGCAGTGCTGTAGCTTCTTCTACACATGGATCATTTTAGCATTATGATGGAGTTTTTATAAATGTGGGAAGAAAATACTGGAAGAAAAAATATTAGAAGATAGAAGAAAAAAAAGAGATTTATTTAGTGAACAGTTTGTTGCATAATGGTCTATTTTCTTTTTTTCTTTTTGGGATTTTTTGGAAATGATGCATATATTCAAATATATTTTTTTTTCTCAGATTATGATGACTTGGAGGAGGAGCCTCAGACAGAGATGAATCATGTGACTAAGAGAAGTGGACACACCCAGTGTCCTTCCTCAGGAAATTACGCTCAGACCTCTTCAAATGCAAGAAATGACTTTGTTTTAGATCAGAATTCAATATATTTTATTGAGCCTAAATACTGCTAATTATAGCTTTACACGTCACAAATAGAACATAGAGAAATTAAACACCTGCATGTGTATGTACATTTTTATTCAACTTTTTAACTTCATAAAATGCATTTTGTACCAAAATATATTATTTTTTATTACAATTTACAGATATTTTGTGAGAACTAAAGGCCATTTTTTTGTAGGTCATTTATGATAGTAAAGTATCAAAAGATGTTGAACATTTTCAGTCAGACACAGGAAGAAAAGAACTGGTTTACTGTAATACATTTTTATGAGGTGCTAAATTAACCCACTGATTGTGTTTGAAACAGACAGTTTCTATTATCAGTGTTGACTTTCAAAATCAGGCAGCTCCTTATAACTGTTTACAGAGCAATTCTAAAACAAAATTACTCACCTAATTCTGCGCTGCACTGTAAGGAACGTGGTCTGGTCTTTCTCTCTCATGATATTTGTAAGTCTGTAATGATGATGATGAGATTATTATGATGATAATTTGAGATTATGTCCTCACAGGCACTGCCACTCAATAATATCTTCCTGGTTTATTAAACACAAGAGGGCACTCCTGAATAGGTCACAATGAATGGGCTTCTTCAAAGCTTTTGTGCAAAATCTTAGTTTGTAAATCCTTAATCATTTTCATATAGAAAAATCCACTCATTTTCTCAACACAGAACAGCAAACAATGTTTCATCACTGTTTTACACTGAGTGCTTCTGAACTCTGAACACTTTATAACAGTGTTTGAGTTTTTTCAGTGTTTGAGTGTTTGAAGTCATGTGTTTGGTATAATAGGAGAAATAGGAAGTGTCCAGGCTCCCCTAGAACTGGCTCCGAACACTCTTAATCTAGTGATAGTACAGTTTGTAACATTACTTTACTCATCTGGAACATTGTGAAAAAACTCCTACTGCTCTGATTGGTTGGGAGGTTTAGACTTGTGGGTACTCTAGTAGATGTCGTGTACAATAAAGTGTTTTAAACATCCATAATCATTGATAACAGTTCTCACAATATAATTACATTTTACACCATTGTGTAACAAAAGTCTAGTTAATACAGTTGTGCTGTAAATTGCTATAGAGTCCAGAACATAATAAAATAATGGTTTGCAGTGTACAAGATCTGTACTTCTATAGAGATTTCTGCAGTGTCTGTCAGTCTCAGTGCTCTCATCATCTGCACATTTTCATCGGTTCATGAGAAAGTCTTTCATGAGCTGCATCAGGTGTCTTAGAGCAGAGAAACAAACAATGTAGATTGAAGAATTTAAAGAAAGAACTGTGCTGAACCACTGCTGTAATGTATTCAAGCTATATTGTTTTAAACTACTGTGTTCAGAATGTTTTTATAAAAATTATAATAAAAATAAAAATTACAATAACAGACTAAAAGCCTCACATTCACACAAAAAATGTTACATCATGATGTTTCTTCAACGCTCTATAAATATAAAATAATTACATGTGAATTTAATCCTTCTGTCTGATCCTCGGTGTTGCTACAATAATCTGCTGATGTACTGGCAGTTAGTGTTCTTCTCCAAGCACACTGAGCTGTATGATGATGATGTGTTAGCAGCAGTTTAAAAAAAAACATGGTGTCTGGCTTCATATGACTTGGAGGAAGCCTGTGCTAGCCTTCACCCTCCTAGTGTTGGTGGTATGGTGTCAGTCATGACCTATGACTTATGGTAATGCCTAGCTAGTGGGTGGGACAGGACACAACTAAATTGTGGAGGAAAATAAAAAATAAAAAAAGAAATAAGTACTGCTCATAAAAATTATTTAATAACAAAAAATAACAGTAACCTACACTCCCAAAAAAAAAAAAAATGTCCTTGCCTGTCACTGTGGTGGTATCCTCAAGGGGTACATGTTCAGTACCTTTAGTTAGGGAACATAATTATAGCATATTACATTACATTACAACTATATATATATATATATATATATATATATATATATATATAGTATTAGTATTAGTATTAAGTGTATGTATGTATATATATATATATATATATATAATATATATATATATTAGTTACATTGACTTCATGCACCTTGTCTTGACTCCAGGCTTTTCATTTTATTTTCTATTCAAAATATTAGGTAATTAAAATGTGTACAGGTTTGTTGGGAAAGTGAATTTTAAAACTAATTTAAGGCACAACTGGACCTTAACACCACCTTGATGAACATAAATGTACAGTATCTGTTTTTGACAGTATATACAGGATGCTGTTCCTTACAGGTGTTAGTCAGATGAATGACCAGTCACACTGTCAACATCACTGTGACAAGTAAACACATAATGCTTTATGTAATCTTACTTGTGTGTTTAAATACAAAAATAAACCCAGATCATTTATAATTCACTATCAAAATGCTGTAGCTCTCATAGA